AAAATTATATATTGAGAGGAATATTTTATTAAAATATTAAATTAAAACAATTAAAAACTTATACATTGCATAAATAAGGATTTCTATTTGATTTGTCGGTGTAGTAATTGCAGAGATACAAATGTGAAGTACAAGTGTACAAGCAATAATGACAATACAAGTTCTTTCTTAACAACAAATAAATTATTAATCCTTGCTTAACAATATATAATTTTATTAGGATTTACTTAAAATGAGGGATGAATTTCCCTAAACTATTTTTAAACCTTCCCTTAATTAAATATATCTACATATTAGTCACATCCAAATCCCACGTACCAACAAAGCAAGCTCCAAAATTAGCTTAACTACTTTCATTAGTTACTAGCTATTGGGACCCATCTCAAAATTTTCTTACCAACTTATCATCTACAATTATTTAACTTAGTTTTTCCAAAAAAAAAAAAAAACCTAGTTAACCCCCATTTGCCAAACTAAGAGCCGGTTATAGAATTATGTGTGTTTAAAAATATATAATTTTTATTTTATTTTTAGCATTAGGATATTAAAACCATCAAAGAATATTTAAAGAGTTATTAATTTAATATTTTTTAAATAAAAATAAAATTTTAAAATATTTTAATAAATAAGTTACAACACAAAAACAAACACATGCCTCAAGCTTTAAATGTTCATTCCTTACGGCTAAAACTCGTTCCAATTATTTTCTTATATCACATCATTTGTGGCTCGAATTTAAGAGAAAGCAGAAACAACTTTTGAATTTAAGAAAAAGCATAGTGTAATTTCTTAAATGCAGGGCATAATTGTCGAACTTGGTTTAAAAACTAATTTGAAAAAAGTCTAGATCATTTAGTATTAAATGAAAAAAATTCAGTTAAGTTACTTTAAAAAACAATTAATACGCACAAAAAATATAGATTAATTCCACTGCTTTCTAAACAATTTGTTTGTAGGTCACTGAATCAACAAGGATAATTACTTGTATTATTAAAATAGAGTGTTTTTATTTATTTATTTTTTAAATTTGATTTCACTTTATCAATATTATTCAAAACACTAAAGTTTCTAGGAGTTTTATTGTGTACAATGGAATATATTTATTACAATAATGTCAAGACTTTTTTATTCCTTAATTATTTTTCTTTTTATTTTAGTTTTAGGAATAGGATGATATTTTTACTATGACATAACTATATTAAAGGATTGTGGAGGGTTATTTTGGAAACTGAATATTGAATATTTAAATGTATAGCAAAATCATTAATGTAACCCTTTAATACAATAATCTAATATCTTTTGTGCACGAGCATTTTTATATTTTTATATTTTATAGAATAATTGAATTATTACATTAATAATATAAATTTTTTAACCTTGGTTTTTAGGATTTGGTTATGATTTCACAGTGGTTTGTTTGTTATTATTATCTAGTCCTAATAATTTTTTTATTATATAAAAAAACAAAAAAAATTATCGAGACGTGTTCCGCACTTATCACCCACTC